TCTTTCTCATAGGGGTAGTTCTTAAGACTTTTGTCCACCAATTACATCTTTTGGATGGGATGGAGAAGACATCAAATCATTTTTCTGTGGGGCTTGCGCCCCTGGTCCATTAATCTTTTACGAAGGTTGGCTCATGTTTGTCGGGGTCATGGAGTTCGGTTTGGTAGTTATATGTTTTAGCGCCTCTTTTTGCAAAAGGACTTCGCTTGGAGTGACCGATTTTTAAGGGGACATTTCCCTGGGCTTATACCTTTTCTCCTCGTGTGGTCAATCTTGGTGGGCTCGTATCCGAGCTAGTGCAGCTCGTTTTTCACGCCTATTCCTACCTGGGGGATACATGTATCTATGGGCGAACTTAGCTGTGGCTCCTGGTTGAAGTTGTCCATGCCGATTTCCCATTGATGAAAGGTTGAACGGATGTGATCGGCTTAAGGAGATAGGAGGAAGTCTGGCTTGAGCGGGCGAAATGCGGGGTCGATTTTGTCTGTTTCTTGTAGGATCAAGCCTATCAAAGACACTGGCCAATCTCCTTGGCACGTTAGCCCTACTGTATTTCGATGGAACGACAATTTTCACAATCATTTAGTCGGTGGCTTGGTCGGCAACCATGTCCACTCCACCTCTTTTTCTAATGGAACGACCTCCTCGTTTTGTGAGGTGTTGTCCAATTGACCTTGCATTCACTCCAACAGTTCTTACATTGCAGCGTTTTGTCGGGAGATGGTTCTCATGTTTACAGTAATGATGGCCAACTCCTTAGCTAGCCTTGTTGCTAGCCTGAGCCTACACCTCGAGCCACTTCTTCGGTGTCGATCTGTGGAGGTAGTTGGCAACGGCTCCTGGATTATTGAGGCACTTTGCGAGGGAGCTTCCTCGCCGAAGCATTATTTAATTTGTCTGGGTGCGATTTCTTCCTTTGTCGAACTCATGGCCGCCTCTCCTCAACAGATGACTTCTCTTTGGCTCTATTTGTGGGGCTGCTTTCCTTTACTCAAGGATTTAGCGGAGTTTTCTTTTGAGTTGCCTCTTTCAACACCTCGGTCAGGCCCCGTATTTCTTTTTTTCCAGGAACGTCACCTTTTGTTCAAAGGCCTTGTCCCACGAGGTGCTTGTAATTTGGTTGTTCCAAGATCTCCACAAACAGCGTCAATCTGTTGACATCTGAAAATAGCCAACAAGTGTCGTTAGAAAATAATATATACGTTGACCTGTTTTTGTAGTATTTCTACTGTAAATACGAATGTTTGGGAAATAAAAAGATAGAGAGAAGAGAGAGATGTAGTATGCACTCTTTTTTTAATCGAAGATTTATTCTCTTAAATGATACAAGAGTTATCTATTTATAGTAATCAGGCAGACATGAACATCGTTAGATCCGAGCCACGTGGCTGATCCGAGACCCTTGATGTCACGTCAACTCGACTTCATATTAATTATATTGATAGATTCTTGACAAGAGGTCAGCCACCCTACAAATCTAGGCTGACTTTTCTTACACTTAATAAATGGGCACGTTGCATTAATCAATCTGGAGACTTCCCAACTGAACCTGCCAAGGGCCTCGGATGATCCAGAGAGTTCGGCAATAAGATATGAGCAGGGGTAGATTCGCCTCGGCTGATCTTAGTGTAACGACCTCGACATTTAATCGCGACTACTTCAGATGTTGTAGTTTTTGGATAGCTTGGATGATTGCCACGTGTAAATACGGGGGTTCATGTGGCCATACTGTATGACTAGTAACAATGATTAACACTCGTTTCAAGACAATATACAAAGGTTCAAACTAGTTGAATATGCTCCTGAGTTAAATTTTAACAATATTAACATATTATAGAAAAAGAAATATGTTACAAAAATCTATGAATACCAAAAATATAATGAAATATCCAAGTCTATGAAGGGTAATTATTAAGTTCTTTAAATTACAGTACTAGATATTAGATAAGGGTAATTATATTACCACTACGAAATTCGTTAGCTACACCACAAGTTTAAACATTTTTTTATTTACTTAAATAGCCTAAAATAAAATTACATAAATAGGTTTTAATATATTTATCACATACTTTATTTGTTCTACAACAATTATATATAAACCTAATTTTCTTCTTCTTATACAATATCTATTTTATTAAATTTGTTATAGGAATTTTATTTTGCTTCTGATTGCACTTAATTGTGTAAACATTGGAATGTGTCAAGCATTTGATTATTTAATTTTTGTAAATCTGTAAATCCGCTGCTGGTTTCTTATTGAATTTATGATTCGTAAATTTAATGAAAACTGGAAATTTCTTGAATTCAATAATCAATCTACTGGTTGATACATTCTTTTTTTCTTCAAAGCAATGATAGAAATTCTTAAAATATCTAACTAATCTAATATTCCGTGATAATTATTTCAGATCCCCACCATTTGATTCCTACCAACAAGTTGGTGATCTTTAGGTGTATATTGGTAGATTTTATTTCACTCGATTCAGAGTAACAAAAACACGATTCAGACTTGTGAAAAAGGCAAAATATTTGTGTTAAAATCCCACTAAGACTAAATAATAATATTCTTCAGAAAAATCAAGAAATTATAGAGGAGAAAAATGAGGTAATATTGAGATGATGAAGACACCACAAAACTGAATTTTTTCATTTTAAATTTTTATTGGATTAGGAGTATAATTGTAAATTTATTGTGGTGTATTTATTAAAAATATATTTTAAATGTGGTGCGATTATAATGTGGTGCAGTAAGTAAATTTTGTAGTGGCAATATAATTACCCATTAGATAATCGTAGAAATTAAAATCAAGATTTTAATCTAATTCAAAGTTAACAATTACGATTCGTAAATTCAATGAAAACTGGAAATTTCTTGAATTCAATAATCAATCTACTGGTTGATACATTCTTTTTTTTCAAAGCAATGATAGAAATTCTTAAATATCTAACTAATCTAATATTCCGTGATAATTATTTCAGATCCCCACCATTTGATTCCTACCAACAAGTTGGTGATCTTTAGGTGTATATTGGTAGATTTTACTTCACTCGATTCAGAGTAACAAAAACACGATTCAGACTTGTGAAAAAGGCAAAATATTTGTGGTAATAGTGTTAAAATCCCACGAAGACTAAATAACAATATTCTTCAGAAAAATCAAGAAATTATAGAGGAGAAAAATGAGGAGTAATATCGAGATGATGAAGACACCACAAAACTGAATTTTTTCATTTTAAGTTTTTATTGGATTAGGAGTATAATTGTAAATTTATTGTGGTGTATTTATTAAAAATATATTTTAAATGTGGTGCGATTATAATGTGGTGTAGTATGTAAATTTTGTAGTGGCAATATAATTACCCATTAGATAATCGTAGAAATTAAAATCAAGATTTTAATCTAATTCAAAGTTAACAATTAATTTAAATCACACATTTCATAGAATCTACAACTTTTTAACCACGTATTTAATCAAAATTTTCTTAAAATCTGATTTTAGTCCTCACTAAAGAGAGACTTAATTTTATTTTTTTTCACGTCTAATATTGTTTATATCCTATCTATCTAACTTGATTGTCAATCCTCGATGGGTGTAGGTGGTACCAGGTGTAGTTAGATAAATGATCAAAGATGGCTTCATAGAGTCGTGGCGCCTTGATGCTCTACTCATGATAGATTTTCTAATTCCAATAGTATCAGTGGTCATCCAAACTATTTGGCAAATTTGTTAATTTTTTTTTTTTTACTTTATTATTATTATTTTTTTGGGAGGGTCCGATCAAGCCTCGTTTTCCAAACTATGCGATGAAGGGTTCACATTTTACAATTTCGTCTTCACTATAATCCAATCGATCTCACTCACTCCGATTGATTCACTATCTAATTCGTAGCTTTCCCAATTAGACCAACCAATCAATCTTAGCCCTTATTTGAAATTTCATGCTCAATTTCAATCACACTCAATTTTAATCACACATTCTCTAATCTCACATTTTTCCTCCTAATTTCTAAAAAGACGTTAATCTAGAATGATCACTTCTAGTAAAATCACTTTTGCACAAGCAGTTAATTATGCTCTTTTAATGATTGGAATAGCATTTTTTCGAAAAATGTGTGGTTTAAAAAGAATGAAAATTTTTCGATTTACGTATAATATTATTTTATGAAAGATTGTTCGGTTGAAAATAACAGCATATAGAAAAAATAAAAGAGAATGGAGGTGAAATGGAGCAGTAATTTTGAAATGTCATCCAATGCGCGTAATACCTCTCTCTCTCTCCCTCCAATTTCAAATGTTAGAAATGAATGAGCAATTACGTAACATATAATGGAAAACTGCATTTACTTCATTAAATTACCTCCAACCAGCATCTATTACACCCCTTTAATTCTTCATTTAATAGTCTTCCTCAAGTCAAACTTCTTATCATCATCATAATTTTTTTGTGGAATTTTTGTTAATTTGTTATTATCAATCACTTCTTTCCAGTTATTTTTCTAGCAGCATGCTTATGGCTTTTGAGCATCATTCAAGTCCACCCACAAATACAATGATTTCTAGCCAAACATTCACCTGGATAGTTTTCCGTTTAGTCCTTTCATCTGCAGCAGAAGCAAATATGTGTAATCGATCTTGTGGAAAAGTGGAAAACAGAGTGCCATACCCGTTTGGATTTTCCGACGGTTGTGGCATCAAGTTAAATTGTAGCAAGAACAATGGAAATATCCATATAGGCGATTTTCTGGTCCAGAATTTAACGTCGGATCGTATTTTGGTTAGTCTGCCGGGGAAATGCAACCGTTCGATTGATGCACTCAATCCACTCTTTGGTAAAAACTTTGCAGTTACCGGACGAAATGGGCTTCTGCTACAGAACTGCAACCCGCCGGTCAACGATTTTACCATTCCACGGAACATGCTTCATTTCTTTTTCAAGTTTGATAGTTGCGATTTTGGGGATAGAAACAGTAGTAGTGGTGATTATAATCACAATATTAGCTATTATGCAGAGGCAAATGATAGTTATGTGGAGTTCTTGAACTATGAAAAATTTAGAAGAAGGAGTAATTGCCGCCATCTATTTTCGTCGATCATGGTGGGTTGGAATCAGAATGGCTATAATACTGGTAGTAATGTAACTGAGAACCTCTTTATATCGCTGGAGCTGCAGGCACAGAAGGTGGAGCTCCAGTGGTGGTTGCCGGGCCCCTGCCTTTGTCATCCAAATGCTACCTGTACAACTGTTAATGGGACAGGGTTTCGTTGCAAGTGTCTAAAAGGATATGCCGGAGATGGTTTCGCCAGAGGCGAAGGTTGCAAGATAGGTAAATCCTTATTTTCTGGGAATCAATTTTAGTTGAATTATTCAAGAGATAGTTTTTGATGTTTTAAGAGATCATCTTTTGATATGGATGTATTGAAACGATGGCCTAATTGCATGTTGACTTTGGCAAAGTGTGTTTAAGCTTTGAGAATTGGAATAGGATGTCGAGTGGACAATACGTATTTAATTGATTTAGGTTCGTTGATCATAAATGCCTGTTAGATTTCTGATTAATCATAATTCTTTGGTGCCATCCATATTTGATATTGAATGTTTGATCTGTTAAACTTCATCTTGATCATGAACTTGAACAATAATTTAATCTATAGTGAACGGAAGAGTGATGAAATGGAAAAACCAAAATATTCGGCTTGGTTTTAAATATTCCGGCGAGTGATTGGTGAGGTGACTATTCTGCAGCTACCTTCATTGAATTTCCATAACTTTGGTAAACGTCTGCCAATTTATTCTGGCATAGCTGTATACTCATAGGGGATTTGAATACGAAATCTTGACCTAAAATAAAATAAAGGAAAAGGAGTTTGACTTTGGCCCAATTGATGATGTCTTTGTTCTAAATGTAATTTGCAAGCTACGTTTGGCCTTCTTTAGGTTGCAACTTGGTCATTGGATAATCTCAAACTATTCAAACTTGTAACATTTAGAATTTTGGTAAGTTTCAATATTAAATGTGCAAAAGTCAGAGGAAAGAGGATGTGAATTGTAGAACATTCACATGTTCTGGTCTCAACTTAATGATAACTGCCACAAGCATAAGATCGAGTCATCTGTCGTAACCTGGAAATTTGGCTTGAAATATTTCCTGAAGTGTTAGGTCATATTGCGGATGTTTCATTTATGTACTGCACGAGATCCTTTCTATTTTGATGAATTTATATGTCTGGAACTAAGTTATTTGAACACTTGTGCTTCACAGTTCTTTACTTAACTATGCAGATGAGCCAAATGCTTGAAACATGCAACTGTAGGAAAAGAAAACTCAAGAAATCTGTCTTGAGTACTTTTTTTGACCATGTTGAATTGTTATCGAGTCTGTCTATCTTATATGAACATATAGTTAACTGAGCGTGTTATTTCTGTCGAAATGGCGTTTTAACTAGCATAAGAATGTATATTCTCGCTTTTTTTTTTCTTCCACAAGCCTGTGTAAAAATTGTACATTACCATTTTATTCATCTTCATCTCCTTACCCATTTGAGCAACTACTAACAACTGGAGATAGTCAGATGGAACCTGGATTCTGTTGCATGTAATTCCATATATATGATGTCTGTGACATGCAATAAAGGCACCCTTAAAATTGCATTACTAATTCGCGCTAGCTTTAACCTCCAAAATTCATTTACTTTCATTGCACTAATTTATTCCGTTGTCTGTTGTTGCCATGTACCAGTTTCCGAACATGGTGGAACCAGAGTAGGCTTTCTCATTGGAGGTACTTTTTTCAACTGAGTTCTTTCAATTTCTCTTTCTAGAAATATATGTTCGTCACTTCAAGTCACGTTTCTTTACAATGTCAAAATGCTTTAGGTGTATACTCCTCGCTTTATCTTGCAGCTATTCTGTTTCTTCTTCTTGCTGCCTATTCTTGGGCCATTTTGAAATTGCATGACTGGTAATTGCCGCCATCTATTTTCGTCGATCATGGTGGATTGGAATCAGAATGGCTATAATACTGGTAGTAATGTAACTGAGAACCTTTTTGTATCGCTGGAGCTGCAGGCGCAGAAGGTGGAGCTTCGGTGGTGGTTGCCGGGCCCCTGCCTTTGTGATCCAAATGCTAACTGTACAACTGTTAATGGGACCGGGTTTCGTTGCAAGTGTCTAAAAGGATATGCCGGAGACGGTTTCGCCAGAGGTGAAGGTTGCAAGATAGGTAAATCCTTATTTTCTGGGAATCAATTTTAGTTGAATTGTTTAGTTTTTGATGTTTTAAGAGATCATCTTTTGATCTGGATGTATTGAAACGATGGCCTAATTGCATGTTGACTTTGACAAAATGTGTGTTTAAGCTTTGAGAATTGGAATAGGATGTCGAGTGGACAAAACGTATTTAATTGATTTAGATTCGTTGATCATAAATGCCTGTTAGATTTCTGATTAATCATAATTCTTTGGTGCCATCCATATTTGATATTGAATGTTTGATCTGTTAAACTTCATCTTGATCATCAACTTGAACAATAATTTAATCTATAGTGAACGGAAGAGTGATGAAATGGAAAAACCAAAATATTCGGCTTGGTTTTAAATATTCCGGCGAGTGATTGGTGAGGTGACTATTCTGCAGCTACCTTCATTGAATTTCCATAACTTTGGTAAACGTCTGCCAATTTATTCTGGCATAGCTGTATACTCATAGGGGATTTGAATACGAAATCTTGACCTAAAATAAAATAAAGGAAAAGGAGTTTGACTTTGGCCCAATTGATGATGTCTTTGTTCTAAATGTAATTTGCAAGCTACGTTTGGCCTTCTTTAGGTTGCAACTTGGTCATTGGATAATCTCAAACTATTCAAACTTGTAACATTTAGAATTTTGGTAAGTTTCAATATTAAATGTGCAAAAGTCAGAGGAAAGAGGATGTGAATTGTAGAACATTCACATGTTCTGGTCTCAACTTAATGATAACTGCCACAAGCATAAGATCGAGTCATCTGTCGTAACCTGGAAATTTGGCTTGAAATATTTCCTGAAGTGTTAGGTCATATTGCGGATGTTTCATTTATGTACTGCACGAGATCCTTTCTATTTTGATGAATTTATATGTCTGGAACTAAGTTATTTGAACACTTGTGCTTCACAGTTCTTTACTTAACTATGCAGATGAGCCAAATGCTTGAAACATGCAACTGTAGGAAAAGAAAACTCAAGAAATCTGTCTTGAGTACTTTTTTTGACCATGTTGAATTGTTATCGAGTCTGTCTATCTTATATGAACATATAGTTAACTGAGCGTGTTATTTCTGTCGAAATGGCGTTTTAACTAGCATAAGAATGTATATTCTCGCTTTTTTTTTTCTTCCACAAGCCTGTGTAAAAATTGTACATTACCATTTTATTCATCTTCATCTCCTTACCCATTTGAGCAACTACTAACAACTGGAGATAGTCAGATGGAACCTGGATTCTGTTGCATGTAATTCCATATATATGATGTCTGTGACATGCAATAAAGGCACCCTTAAAATTGCATTACTAATTCGCGCTAGCTTTAACCTCCAAAATTCATTTACTTTCATTGCACTAATTTATTCCGTTGTCTGTTGTTGCCATGTACCAGTTTCCGAACATGGTGGAACCAGAGTAGGCTTTCTCATTGGAGGTACTTTTTTCAACTGAGTTCTTTCAATTTCTCTTTCTAGAAATATATGTTCGTCACTTCAAGTCACGTTTCTTTACAATGTCAAAATGCTTTAGGTGTATACTCCTCGCTTTATCTTGCAGCTATTCTGTTTCTTCTTCTTGCTGCCTATTCTTGGGCCATTTTGAAATTGCATGACTCTTTGCCCCTGGATCAGTTTTAAACTCCCAAGCATGCTAAAATTGTGACGATGCTGTTGTTTGAGTTATTTTTTCTTGATATAATGTCTTCAATTATACTAATGATAAGAAAGATTTTCGCATTTGCCTTATGATTCTGGTTTCAGTACAAGCTTTCTTTTCCTCTCAGATTTCTCAGTGCCATTTTTCCTGCTAATGTTCTCGACTGAGAATTTCAGTGTATCGCAGTTTCTTCAGCAATTTTTCTGCAACTACATTTAAATATCAACCTAGATAGTTAAATTAATTCTCATGCTTGTCTCAACACAGCTATAGGCAGATTAATGCAAGTGTTGGATCCATTATGTGGTCAAAGTGTCCATGGTTGTGAACCTTTACTCTACTGAAATTAAATATCCCATTTGAGTGCTTATGTGTGCTTCGGCAAATTTAGTGCAATGTTCTTAATATATAACTCTCTTCTCTCTTAAGGGTGATAAGAAACAATTCTAATTTAACAGCCTTGTCCATTCTGTTCGTTTTGCAGGAATTATTGCTGGAGCTTCTTTGGTGGCTGCTGCGGCTTTCATATGCCACTGCGTACAGAAACGTTCTGTGTCTCTGAAGAGCCAATTAAGTGCTAGGCAACTGCTCAGTGAGGCAGCAGGGAACTCCAATGTACCCCTCTATCATTATAAAGAAATTGAGCGAGCTACAAACGTCTTTTCTGAAAAACAAAGGCTGGGAACGGGTGCCTTTGGCACTGTATATGCAGGAAAGCTCCACAGTCATGAGTGGGTTGCAATTAAGAGAATGAGACGTCAAGATCACAATAGCATTGAACAAGTAATGAATGAAATAAAGCTTCTGTCCTCTCTGAGTCACCCAAATTTAGTCCGGCTTTTAGGTTGCTGTATTGAGAATGATGAAGAGATTCTTGTTTATGAATATATGCCAAATGGAACTCTTTCCCAGCATCTTCAAAGAGAAAGGGGTTCGGTATTGTCATGGAATATTCGTCTGAACATTGCTGCTGAAACGGCTCATGCAATTGCTCACCTTCATTCAGCAATGAATCCTCCAATATACCACAGAGATATTAAATCTAGTAATATACTTCTAGATTTCAATTTCAATGCAAAAGTGGCAGACTTCGGTCTTTCTAGATTTGGGATGACAGACGATTCCCATGTTTCCACAGCACCACAAGGGACTCCTGGCTATGTTGATCCACAGTACCACCAGAACTTTTATCTTTCAGACAAAAGCGATGTTTACAGTTTCGGGGTTGTTCTAGTAGAAATCATTACAGCAATGAAAGTAGTCAACTTTTCTCGACCTCAAAGCGAGATTAACTTGGCCGCGCTCGCAATTGATAGGATAGGGAAAGGTCTTATTGATGAGATAATAGATCCATTCCTAGAGCCTAACAGAGATGCGTGGACACTTTCATCCATTCACAGAGTGGCAGAGCTGGCTTTTAGATGTCTTGCATTTCACTGCGACATAAGACCCTCAATGACGGAAGTAGCAGACGAGCTAGAACAGATCAGGATCAGCAGTTGGGCACCATTGGACGAGAATGTATGTACGGGATCATCAGTAGCATCCACATGCTCATCGCTGCACAATGGAAGTGAGCTTATAGAAAATGCTACAGTTAAGAAGGCAGGTGATGGAAGTCAGAGATTGATTGTTCCGCAGAAGGCGAGCGTTGATCTGGCTATTATGGTGGAAAACGAAAGTTCTCCGGTTTCTGTCCAGGATACTCAGCTGAGTGAACAAAGTTCATCACCATCAACAAATAGCCTATTGGGTAACGTAGTTCAATGACTATGAAACTATTTCCTTTACTCTTAGTTCATGTATACAGTACAGAGACGCATGTTTTTGTACAGAAATGTGTTCTTGGAGTTATTCTTTTGCAATCAGCAATGCCTACACAAATTAATCCAAAATGCTCCTGTAATTGACTCTCAAACCTTACTTTGACAGTACATATAAGAGATTTCATCACCATGCATATTTTCTGAGTATTTATTACAATAATAATTTGACACAGTGACTTTAGTTGTATGCATATATTTATCCTGTTTGGCGGGTAGAAGAACTTCATAAAAAAGAAGATTTCTCGCTTCTTTATCTCGTTCAATAACGTACTGTAAGGATTTTTAATTAAAGATGGGCTTGTATGTGTAAATAATTGTGTGTTAAATTATAGGCTATCGAATTCGGTTGAGCCCGATTAAAGTGATCTAATAAGGTTTCGATTTTGGGCCTTAATGTATCCAATTAAAGTATGGGTTTACATATGTGTAGAGACCGGGCCCAAGTCCTAATTCTATGATGGGCCGAATTAGGTCAAAGGGCATCCTCATATAAATAGGTTATGGTCCCCAGATCACACGCAACAAAACGAATTATTCATTCTCTACTGCATCCCATCACAGAGAGGAAAAGGAGACTGCGTGTAGATTTTGAAGATCATACCGCGAAATCCATATTGCATTAACTATGTCAGATTCAGGTATGCTTCCGCTTTAATTATTATATTTCTTGATGATTTAATATGAAAGATCCGGTATTTAAAGAATTAAATTATCCAACAAGTGGTATCAGAGCCTGTTCATGTTGAATCATTGAGAATCAAAGATTTTAATTTGGTTCTTGCAATATATTTTGAAATTTTCAGATTTAACAATTTTTGGTTATATATTTTGTTAAATTTGAAAATTTTTGCGGTATAATTCTTGCTATTTTCGTTCGGATTAATTAGTTTTGAAAATTCAGATTTGGAATTCGGAAATTTTAAGATTCAGAAAATATTTAAAAAAAAAAAAAATTTTGAATTGGCCGGCGGCGGGTCTGCCGTCGGCGTCTGCAGCGGCTGCTGCGTTTTGCAGCAGCGCCTGGGCAAATTGACCCCCTAAGTTCATAATTAATTCAAATTGACCCCTAAAGTTTCAAATTTTTAAAAATTTGATCCCAAAAGTTTTGAATGGGTCAATTTCGGCCCCCTGGTTGCAATTAGGGTTAGGGTTATAAAATTAAGGTTTCAGTCCCTAACCTTTAAGTTATATTGGGATTTGAGCCTTTAAGTTTCGAATTTAATAATTCAGTCCCTAAGGTTTTAAAATTAATTAATTCGGGCCATTAAAGTTCTGAATTTATAATTTAAGTCCTCTAAATTAAATTATTAATTCAAATTGGCCCCCTAAGTTCATAATTAATTCAAATTGACCCCTAAAGTTTCAAATTTTTAAAAAATTTGATCCCTAAAGTTTTGAATGGGTCAATTTCAGCCCCTAAAGTTTTAAAATTTGTTTTAATTGATCCTCTAAAGTATTGAATTAATTAATTTTGGTCCTTAAAGTTTCAAGTTTATTAATTTCAACCCCTAAAGTTTGAAATTAATTAATTTTGCCCCCTTAAAGTTTTGAATTATTAATCCTAAGGCCCCTAAAGTTTAAAACTAATCAAAATATGTAAAATTGGTGATCCTCTTTATCAAATTTTGGTATTAAAGACTCTTTTAAGGAGATATAATATTCGAAAGTTAGTTAATTGAAGCAACATGTTGCCAAAGCAACCTCTCTTGTGAAAATTAACTAACCTAGAATGTTAAAAAGTGTTTGTACACGTGTTATTCATGGGAATATTGGTCGGCCCAAAGGAAGGTCAATATTTAGCCGAATACACGTGCACCTGTGGTGATAAACGTGTGACG